CAGCAATTTGCACTGTGTCCAGTGAGATATTTGCAATGTGATCATTTTATGGCTCTTCAGGTGCCCTGGAGTCACCCATGACTGATGACGCCCTCTTGTGGTCAGAGTAGCACTGCTCCATGGAGTTTTCAAGGTTGTGACTTTCCAGAGACCAATCTCCGGGCTTTGCTTCCTAGGTGCCTCTGGGTGGGTTTGAACCAACAACCTGTTATAACCATTTGCATATCCAGGGAAACCCAAGCATGGTCAATGTCTCTCATTAAAATAAAAGGCATATTGCATTAAACTGTTGAATTTAGGGCCATGTCTTCTTGTATCAGGGCAGAGTTGAAGCTTTGGTTCTGCAGATAAGAGGCAAGTGCCTACCATTGTTCTGGGGAAGCTGGCTTCAAAGTTGGACACTTGAGTATCGTGCTTGAGCACTCGACTGCAAGGTCAGTTTGAACCACCACGTCAGCAGTTCAAACTCACCAGCCGCTCCTTGGAAACCCTATACAGGGTCACTATGAGTCGGAACTGACTTGATGACATTTAACAATAACATTTAAAACAGAAGTGAAGGAACCTGGTGGTGCTGTGGGTTAGGCATCGGGCTGCTTCCAGCTCAAAACCACCAGTTTCTCCTTGAGAGAAAGACAAGTGAGTCTGTGTGTCCCCATAAAGATTTGCATTCTTGGAAACCCTACACAGAGTTGCTATGGCAGTGGGCTTGATATTAACAGGACTGAGGTCTCTACGTGTTACAAACGCTTGCTCTTGATACAAACCTGAAGGCTGATAGTCCAAACCCACTCAATGGCATCATGGGACTGGTGTTCTGCTTCCTCAGAGATTCTAGAAAACTCTAGGGACTAGTTCTACTCCGTAGCACATGGGGTTACTATCTGTTGAATCAACTCACTCGCCAAAGGTTTGTTTTTGGTTTATTAATATAACTAAGCCCCTGTGTGCTCGTGTGGTGCTGTAGGGTAAGGACTAGACTAGTTACCTTAAGGTCAGCAGTTCAAACCCACCAGCCCCTTTTTGGAAACCCTATACAGGATCGCTCTAAGTTGGAACCAACTCGATGACACTTAACAACAGCAACATCAAGCCCCTGCTATAGTCAATAACCACCCCCTCCCACCAAGTGTACACTCAGAATCCAGGGTCCTGAAACTTTTTTGTGCCCTGGGCCCCTTTGGCAACCTGGAAACCTAATGATACCCCTCTGAGGAGAATGTTTTAAAAATGGTGGTAGAGTAATAGATCTGCTTCTTTTGTTGTTGTTTAGTGTTGTTAAGTCAGTGCCGACTCATAGTGACTCTGTATAGGGACTCCAAGGAGGGATTGGAGGGTTTGACCCGCCAACCTTGAAGTTAGCCATCCAATGCTTATTACAGGATTGCTGTTGTTGTTAAGTGCCAACGAGTCAGTTCTGATTCATAGCCACCCTATATACGGTTTCCAAGGAGGGGCTGGTGGGTTTGAACTGCTGACCTTGAATGACAGCCTCACACCAGGAGTCCATATGCTTCCTTAGAAAAGCATTAAAGAACCACACTGCGGCTTCACCACCTCAGCACCTCCATTCCTCCGGCGATCCCGCTCCTCACTGTCCCGAGGCTGCAGGCCCCTTACTGAGCTCCCAGGCTGGTCCCGCTCCCCCAGTGAAAGGCCAGCTTCGAAGAACAGTCCAAAGGGACACATTTGTAACATGCCTGTACCGCTGCCACAGGAACTGGAAGCTGAATTACAGGCGTGGCAGCTCAGGCAGCAGAGGAATTGCAGGAAGAAGAAAGGAAACACAGAAATGCTGTAAAACCAAAGGGGCTTCACTACACAGCCCACTTCCAAGTCAGTGGAAAGCAATTCCTGCCCTAGTCTCCCCACTCCTATCTAGTTTGCTTCTCTCATTTTAAAAAATTGTGGTAAAATATATATAACAAAACAAATACCCCTACAACAGTTCAAAAGAAAAGCATTCAATAAGAATGTCTGCAGGTGTTGGTCCTGCGCTGGTTTCAAATCAGCACTGGATGTAAAGGGTATGATGGGTAATGTATCAGGAGGGTCATGAGATGTCAGCAGCTGTGCCTTTGATTGGGGATAAAGGTACAAGCTCCTCTGATTATGCTTTGCTCCTCTCGGCATAATTGAAGCAAAGGTCAGATCTCTGTTTTCAAGGAGTGAATGACAAGATGCACCCTAGACCAAGGGGGTGGAGACTAGACTCCACCCGTGTATTTCTGGGCAGCAGCCCTCGTTTGGGGCAGTGCTGACTCCAAGCAGCCTGTGTTCCTCTGTCCAGGAGTTAGCCACAGGGGACTTAAGACATGAGCTAGCTAGCATGGAGGCCCAGAGATGTGATCTCACCTTGGGGTTGTGTTCCCGAAGGGCACCAATGAGGAAGTACTGTTACCACACTGAGGCCTGCTGCCAAAGTCCTCGAAGGGTAGACTTTGGAAATGCGCTGGTTAACACTGTCATTTCAAGGAAGGTCAGACTGAGTATGGCTGGAGATTTGTGGCACATATGTTTTCCTTAGGGAATCCCAGAGTTTACTTGGGATGGGAAATCTGATAAAAGGCAGAAGGAATGTGTGCACACATGCCCATATATGTCACTTAAAAACCCTAACCGTTTACTGTAATTCTTATATGATAGCCTGCTTATGTTAAAATAACCTTATTATGAACCTTTTCCTTTGCCAGCAAATATAGTCATAAATACCACGATGGCAGCAGCCTACTCTATGGTAGAGGTTAATGCACTGGGCTGCAAATTTGGTTTGAACCACAAGGTCGGCAGTTCAAGCTCACCAGCTGCTTCTCAGAAACCCTATACAGGGTCATTATGGGTTGGAACAGACTCGATGGCACTTAACAGCAACAACAATATCATGACGTATTTAATTATTTTGAAGGCTTGGGTTGTGTACAATCTCATTATTAGATAAATAGTGCCTTGATGAGCCCTGTAGATTACGTCTTTGTTTCCCCAGTAATTGATCTTTGAAGATTTCTGTAAGTGGAATAGCTGGGTCACAATTCAGTAGTCACAACAATAATTATGCATATTTTCATGGATTTTTTTTTTTTTTAAGCAGGACTTTCAAATTGCCCTTCCAGTGCAGACCAGATCTGGGACCTTTTGACTTGGCTCAGAGATGGCAAAGAGCTAAGTGATAAAACCGAAAAAAACTCTGTATAAGAAGAGGTCCTTTGGGGAGCAGGCGGAAGCTGGCCCCTCTTCGGTGATGGGAGGTTTCTCCCTTTCTTTGGTGCTCGGTCACCTTCAAGACAGATTGTGGTATGAACACAGACTCTTCAAGGCTTGGGGTCCCTGCTGTTGACTTGATTTAACCATTTGAGTACATCCAGCCTGACCCCCACTGATCAAAGGGGACCAAGATCAAGATTTCTTTGTGAAATCACAGAACATCCCAGGGGAGATCCATTTCCAGTGGGAACACAACAGAGCTATCCACTTGGCCTAAAAGCTTCCTATCTGGCTTCACTCCCTCCCCACCCCATTGCATTTTCTGTCCAAACAATAGGGCAGGGGACATAGCTAGAGTCATGAATGATGGCGTTTTGTTTTTTTTCTTCTTTGTGTTGTTGTTGTCTTTTCTGTCACCTCTCCATTTATTCTATGAGGGCAGAAACCGTTTGCTACTTCTTCTGTGTATTAGCAATAGCAGAAATGCAGAACATACTTTCTAAGTCTCTGTGCTGTGCAAACCAGCTATCTGATCCTGCCACAAATGATACTGGATGATTAAAATCTCAGCAGACCTAAAACTGCAGATCCTATCTCCCCCTCCATGTTTTATCGCTGTAGATTTTGTTTCTTCACATAGACCAAAGATCTCCCAGGTCTGAAATTAGAATGTTCTACAGGATGACATTGAACATGGAGGGTACCACCTCACCATGCAGCTAGGTCCTATTTATGATTTGAAGGTTACAAGTTTGCACACAGAGATTTTGGAGTCTCTCTCTCTCTGTTACAAGCCCAGGGCAGGGAGCCCAGGCCCATAGTCCACTCTCTCCCGCACCCCAGGAGGAGACTGTTGCTGTTGGTTGGCACCAAAGCAGCTTGCTTTCTCACTTGGGGATCTCTGGGCGCTGGGTAGAGAGAGAAAGGCGTCTCCTCGTTCTTTCTATGGAGACCCTGGAGGTGCAAACGTGCTCTGCTGCTAACCAAGAGGTTGGAGGTTCAAGTATAACCAGAGACACCTTGAAAGAAAGGCTTGGTGATTTACTTCCAAAAACTTAACCACTGAAACAGCCCCGTGGAGCACAATTCTGCTCTGACACTCATGGGGTCTCTATGAGTCCCCGGGCTGTCGGTAGCTTGCCCTCCCTCCCACTGACTTTTCTGGACTCCACCTCTTGCCTGCTGGATCTTTGTAACTTAGCTCTCCTATCTTTCTCCATCTCGCCTGTGGAGCCCCCTCCCAATCTGCTGGAAGAGAATGATCCTTAATATACACCCCCCACCCATTAGGCCTGGAGTGGGTTTAGGTGAGCTCCCACACGCCCATCCTAACGTCCCCAGCTACCCACAACGCACAGGGCAGTCTGTTTGGTGGTCCAGAGGCTCCCGGACGCGCACAGCAACACGCAGCATGCGGCGAGAACAGTGTCTGCGGAGTGCAGCCCGGTGGGCGCGTCCTTCCCGCGTTATATGTCACCCACCCGCTCTCTCTCTCTTGGGGTCCCCGGCGCTGGTCCCGCACATTCATCACCGGAGCCCAAGCGGCTGGGGGTCCTGTCTCAGCCGAGTCCCCGCGACGGGAGTCACGCGGGGGGCGCGGGGCGGGCGACAGCTCCGCCAATCCCGGGCTAGCGGCGCGCAGTCCGGGCGGGGCGCCGGCGGCGGGATGGGGAGGGCCGGGGCGGGCCGGAGGGATGGGGAGGGCGCGCCGAGACGCCGCGGCGGCGCTGCAGAGCGGCTGGGCGGCGGCGCTCGATGCTCCCGCGCCCGCCCGCGTCCGCGCCCCGGACGCCCGGATCATGGGCTGCATCGGCTCCCGGACCGTGGGTGGGTACCACAGGGGCGGCGGCGCAATCTGACCTCCGTCCGGACTCCCCGCCGCCCCGGCCAGGCCTGCGGCCTCGCTTCGCCCCGCGAAGCCCTGCACCCCCGCCCCGCAGGCCGGTCCCTAGCCTGCATCCCTCCTCCATCCTAGCATCCCTCCAGCATCTTGCCAGGATCCCTCAGTCCCTTTAGCATCATTCTCGCGTCCCTCCGCATCCCTGCCAGCCCCCTCCCTGCTCTCTTCCCCAGCCGCCAGGCCGCCGCCACGGCCCTGCCAGCGACCCTCGTCTCCGGAGCAGCCCCTCTCCCAGTTCCCAGACCCTGGCCTCCGTGCTGCTCCCGGTCTCGCCCTCCCTCAATCGCATCTCTCTCTCCGGTCCCCCACCGTCCTTATCCCCACTTGCTTTGTTCCCGTGCGTCCCCCCCCTCCCCCGGGACAGGGGCGGGGACCGGGGCTGAGGGGGGTTGGGGGTGGGCCCAGGACGAGCTGGGCTGGTGGCACCTGTCGGGCTGGCGGCTCCGTGTTTACCGTGACAGGAATGGAAGTGGACGCCTCCTCATCGTTCTTTTCCGACCCTGACCCCCCAGCCCTGCACCCACAACATCCTCACAGCTCAGTTGGTTACTCCAACTCACTCTCGACCCCCAGCCTCCCATTCCGACTCCCAGTTTCTCCCGCCTACACGCCCCTGCGACCTCAGGCTGAGGGAATAATTCGTATTATTATTACAAACAAACACGCTCCCTGGAAGGCTGGTTTCTCCCAGCCCTGGTTTATTTCCATGGATACCCCTCCGCCTGCAGCCACCCCTTCTCGGGGCCCTCCCTCCCCTGCCCCCAGCTCTGACTCAGCGCTCCCTCCCGTTACTACAGGCCGCCCCCTCCCCTCCCACCCATGGCCCCAGCTCTTCCTGAAGGTGCTCTGTGAGGTGGTCCACCTCTCCCCACTTTCCTGCAGCCCTTGGACGAGGCCCATTTTGGGGTCTTTCCTGCCCATTCCCTTCCTTTACATCCACTATCTGGTTGCAAGCTGAGGGCCTCTACATACCTAAGATGCCCTCAATGTACCACTTCCCAAGAGAAGACCCTCTGGTCTTTGACTCAGAACCTTAGAACTTCATATGTGCATGGGGTCTCCAAGGGCAGATGGTTCAGGCAGTCATTGATGTGGCTGGTCCTTGACTCCCTAGGGGTCCTCTCAAGACTCCCAGGGGGACTTTCCTTGCCGTCTCCCCAGGACCCTCAGCTCCCCACAAAGCTCCCCTTGTCCCTTGTTTTGGCTTTGAAGTTCCTCCTTTAACTCCTCTTTCTACACAACCCCCTTGTTCCCCGTGCCCACCTCCTTAACCCAGCAATCTCCCTCCCATCCTGGGGGACACTGCCTCCTTCCTGTTCCTGGTGGCCTGTCTCGGTTCCACCCTCAGGGAGGCTCTGCCCACTCTGTGCCCTCAGGCTCCTGGTGGCTCCCACTCTTTGCTCCCAGCTCCTGCCTCCGTTCCCACCAAGGTACCTTCTAGTGTCAAAAATGCACCAAGGCTTCTGAAGGCCCCCTAGGAAGACATGTTCCTCCCACCCCGCAAAGAGCACCGCCCCCATGACAGAGCAGCACAGCTTCCCAGGGGAGATCTGCTCTCCTTGTAGAGACCTTGTGTTGTTAAGTGCTCTACAGGCGACCCTGTATATATAGGGTTTCCAAAGAGTGGCTGGTGGATTTGAACAGCTGTCCTTCTGGTTCACACTGGCATTGCAGTCGAGTGCTTATCCTAGCTGTAGAAACCAGGAGAAAAACGCTGCTCCAGCTACAGGACAGAAGGGAGAATTGTTTCCCTGCTGAGACCCAACCCAACCGCTGCCCCTCTCTTTAACAAGGAACAAAGGCCCCAGAAAACGCTTCTGGATGCGCCTGAGTTGCGTGAAAACAATGTCTTGGCTTTGCATTGTTACTTCTCCCATGAAAATTGTGGGGATAGGAGGGGTGGGAAGGGAAATGCGTTTTTCAGAAGCAGCAGTGGTAGTGTTGTCGGGGATTGGCCTGGGAGGGCCGACAGGTGGGCAGGTAGCTGACTCTCGTGCCCTTCAGGGAATGAGGTGATCGCTGTGGATTGGAAAGACGTAGACCAGATCCCCATGGACAGTACCAGCTCGCTACAGGGGAGCAGCCTCCACCGACCCTCCACTGAAGTAAGCCCCACCTCACAGCCCTCCCCAGAGACCTTCAGAGACCCCAGGCTCCTGCGTGGTTAGCAGGCCGAGTCTCTAGCTGCCCAGCCCTCCAGCTGTTGTTATGTGTTGAGTTGATTCTGACTCAGTGTCCTTACATGACAGAGCAGAACTGCCTAGCAGGGTTTCCTAGGCTCTCATCTGTATAGGAGCCAATCTCTGGCAAAGCCAAGGGGTGGGCTCGAACCTCCAACCTTTCAGTTAGCAGCAGAGCACTTAAGCATGGTTAGCTAGGGCTTCTGATCCTCCATGTGTGCACTGACACCTTCAGAGAACATTCTCCCATTTCCCCCAAACATCCCACCGAGACCCCATCCCTGCGGCTCTCGGGAAGGCACCTCTCCTTCACACCTTGAGGAAACCCTTCAAGGGAGGTGGGAAGTGCCAGGACACCCACAGCCTTGTCCTCCATCCCCACAGCAAACCCGGACAGAATTCTCCTGGGACGCCATCAATGTGAGTGCAGCCCTAGCCCCCAGTTCCCGCCAAGTCCCCTTCACCGTCCTAGAACAGTGCGCCTCACAGTCTCCAGTCCTCCTGTTCAGGACACTTGAACCTGTGTTGAGCTCTTAGCACTTGCTTGCCCTGACCCCTTTCCTTCAGCTGTAAGCATGGACTCCCCCGCCTCCCCAGTATATAAAGTGCCCTGTGCCCTCTTACTCCTCTGTCTTCTCCCCACCCCTCACCAGCTCTCCATGGAGGACACCACTTCTATCCTCCCGAAGCTCAAACGAAATTCCAATGCCTATGGCATCGGGGCCTTGGCCAAGTCTTCCTTCTCAGGTAAGCCTTCGCCCTGGGGTGCCCGAGCTCACAGAGCACCTCAAGGCTCACATGTGTCCTTCCCTCCAAACCTCCTCCCATCCCTGAGCTGCCCTCAGATACGGAAACTTAGGGAATGTCTGCTCCCTGGGAGGGTAGGGCCTCGGTGGTGATGGGGTGGGAGGTTCTGGTGTGGGTATTGTGAGCTATTCCAGATGGTGTGCACCCATAGGGATCTCGAGAAGCATGAAGGACCACGTGACAAAGCCCACAGCCATGGGGCAGGGCCGGGTGGCGCACATGATCGAGTGGCAGGGCTGGGGGAAGGCCCCAGCCCTCCAACCTCAACACAGCCACGAGGCGGTACGTAGGGACACCGATGCCTATTCCGACCTCAGTGATGGCGAGAAGGAGGCGCGCTTCCTAGCAGGTACTTCTGCCAGATCCCTTGAAGGACACAGTTTGGGGGTGACCAGAGATTGACCCCCCAACCATGATTGACCATGGTGAGGTTAGCCTACATTTCCCAGACAGTCTTACTCCCACCATTTAGTTTGTTATTTTGGTGAGTGTCTAACTCATTATCAGCTCCACTGGAATGTGATGAGAAGGTCACCTGGCCCAGGTATCTTCCATCCTACCTGGTGAGATGGTCCACCTGTACTCTCCCAGTAAAGGAGACAGACAAGGCCTTGGGCTCCAAAGGCTCTGCTGCTCCCTGTTCCTCTTAGGCAAAGAGAGGAGGATCATGGGAATGACTTCTAGCCCCTGCCCATTAGCACAGTGTTGGCCTTAGTGTTTATGACCACCACTGGAAGATGAGAGACCTGAGAGATAAGGGCTCCAGGAGAGGCTTAGTTCTAGAGGGGTGGTCTAGGTACAATGATGGGCACACAAGGTCCTCACAAGGGTGGTGGGCTCTAGTGGCACCACGGAAGGGTGGTAGCCCTGGGGAGAAGGGGGAGGTGACATTGTGTGGGTGGTGGGAGAAACATCAATGGGGAGGGAGAAAAACAATTTGGGGACAGGGTAAGCAGGGATCAGCTTCCCCCTGACTCCACCTAGAATGACCCTCTGCTGTAGAGCTGATTTGGACTCACAGTGACCCTAGAGAACACAGTAGAATTGTCTCCTAGGGTCTCCAGGGCTATAGCTGTGTAAGATACAAGATCAGAGGTTCAGACCACGCTCAGAAGCTCTGTACAGGTCACCATGAGTTGGAACCAACTCGCGGACACACCACCACCACAACAAATCTTTATGGTCGCGGACTGCCACATCCTTCTCCCAACAAACAGCCGGAGAGTTGAAACTGTCAACCCTTTTGGTTAGCAGCCACGTGCTTCCACTGCTGTGCCCATGGGGCCCCTGACTAGAATAGGGATCCCCAAGTCTGTCCCTCCTTCTTGCAGTCCTTGAATTTTCAGCTTCAGCTCCTTGTGAATCCATAGACTCACGATGCTCCTGTGAGGTTCTCCACTGATCTTGAAACTCTAACCTAGAGCTTTGGGTCCTTGACTAACCAGTTAAGAGCTATACCATTCCTAAAAATGTCCCAAGATGACCTCCTTTAGGAGTTCACACCAGGATGCCCCCAACTCTTTTCCCAGAACGTCCTGCCTACTGCTATCAAGTGCATGCCAACTCACAGTGACCCTGCAGGGCAGAGAAAAACTGCTCCTTAGGGTTTCTGAGACTAAATCCTTATAGGAGCAGCCAGCCTCGTCTTTCTCCTGTCAGCTGACTGGTGGGTTTGAACCACCGACCTTGCTCTTAGCAGTCCAACCTCACTCGCTGTGTGACCAGGACTCTTTGCTTGTCCCCCTGGGCATCATAAATCTGACCTCGTGTCGAGGCATAAACAAAGGCTCTGCTGTCCACTACAGCGGCCACTGGCAGGTAGCCATTGCGGCTGACAAGTGACCACTGCAGGTGGAGCTCTGCTGTGTGTGTGACGCCTACGGGATTCCAGAGACAGAGAAGGACTAAGAGACAGGAGTCATGTCTATAGAGGCTGCACGTTGGAATTGATAGACATTGGGATGTGATGTAGTTGTTATGCAGTGCTGACAAATTGCTTCCAACTCATAACGACCCTGTGTAGGGTTTCCGAGGAGCAGCTGACGGGTTTGAACCTCTGACCTTGATTAGCCATGCCAGGACTCAGTATGTTGGGAGAGTTAGAATCGATTATTAAATGCTTTTCACATCCTTTCCATGTCCTTCAATGTGACTCCTAGGAAAGTGACCACCACATGACTGTCCTGCATCTCTTCCTCTAGGGGTCATGGAACAGTTCGCCATTTCTGAGGCCACGCTTATGGCCTGGTCTTCTATGGACGGTGAAGACATAAGTGTCAATTCTACCCAGGAACCACTGGGCTGCGACTACAGCGACAACTACCAGGAGTTAATGGAGAGCCAGGGTGAGGGCCAGTCCCATATCGCAACCCAGAGGACCCTGAGCCCCCTTCCCCTCTCTCAGCCCCCACTTCACCTGTGCACCCGGCTGCTGATCTGAAACTAACCCCCGATCTCTTTGCAGATGCCCTGACTCAGGCCCCCATGGACGGCTGGCCTCACTCCTACGTATCCCAGGGCATGTACTGTCTGGGCTCTTCGGACGCCTGGGAAGCTAGTGACCAGTCCCTCATGGCTTCTCCAGCCACAGGCTCCTACCTCGGCCCCGCCTTCAATGACTCGCAGCCCAGCTTGCACGAGATGGGGCCCCCTCACCCCACCTTGGGCTGCCCTACCCAGGAGCCACCCCCGTTCCTGGGAGTGGACACTGACTGGGCTCCTGGCAGAGGTGTCGTCGAGCTGGCCCCGGTCCCTGTGGAGGAAGAACAGCAGCAGGAGACTGAGGAGAAGAGGCCGTTGGCCCTGGAGGAAGAGGAGGATGCAGGATGCCGGGACCTGGAGTCGCTGTCCCCAAGGGAGGACCCTGAGGTGTCCACTGCCCTCAGCCGGAAGGTGTCTGATGTCACTTCCTCAGGGGTGCAGTCCTTCGACGAGGAAGAGGGCGAGGCCAACAACTAGTCCCCCCGTCAGCCTGTCCTGCCTGGGCACGGCTCACCCATCACCACCCCTGCAGCATGGACAGGGCAGGGGGCCGTGCCACTTGGAGAGCGTGAACCAAGGCCCAGACCATGGCATGAGTGACCTTCGCTTGTGTCCATGGGCCCCTGGTCTCAGGCCGGCGGGTGGGCCTTTGCCCATCGAGTCTTCCAGCGCACCGACCGCACTGACTGCCTGCAGCTGCCCAACACCTCCTCTTCCTCTTCCTCGCTTTTCCAGTCTTGGCCTTGTCTCTGGCTGTGACCCGGCTCAGGGGGTTGTCCCTCAGGACAAGCCTGCCCTTGGCCACAATGGTCTCTGAACAGGGGGCTCGGGGCAACAAGGCCTGGCAGTGGGACCTGCAGGGATAGGACAGTCACATGGGTCTTCAAAGACTCCCAGCCAGCTACCTGCTCTCCTATCTCCCGCTCTCCTCTGGGAACCCTGGCTTTGTTGGCATGGAACACATGTGTCCCAGCCAGGGCTAAGCATGACGACGGTGTTCCCCCCTCCACCCCCCCACCCCCAACTCTCTGGAGCTGTTTACACTTTTCTCTTTGTCTTTTCTACATTTTTATAACTTCGTGGGGACTCAGGGAGGAGTGATGTGGAGGGCAGAGTCAGTGTGCCAGGATGTGTCCCCAGAAGTGGTATGTCCTTGGCTCCTCCTGCCCCCCACCAGAGCTCCCCAGGGCTCCGACGTCCCAGCACTTCCACACAGACCTCAGCGGCAGGAGACACACTTGGCTGTGGTGGACCCTCCACCCCAAGAGCTTCATGACCACTTCCTCCCTTCCAGAGACACCCCCCCTCCCGATGTCTGTCCCTCATGTGTGCCCCCTCCCAGGACCCACACTTATGTTTGTTTGGAATGAGAAGCCTCAGTTTTCTGTGACCCACTCCCCGCCCGCCCCTCCACACACAACCAGGACAGGGGAGGCAGGGCGGGGCTTATTTGATGGCTGGCCCACTTCTAGGGGCTCCGGGGAGCCATCAGCTTGCTCACTCTGGCCATTGACCCCCACCGGGGGCTTCTGCTGCCCTTACCCCTGTCCAGTGCATCCCTTTTCTGTCTTCACCTCGCCACCTCCCCCGCCCTGTGCCCCCACCATTCACAGTGGGTGTGTCACCACACAGCCACACTAGCTCAGGGGCTGGGGGGCTGGGGAAGGGGCTGAAGCTGTGTCTGCCAGCCCTCCCTTCCCCAAGAAGCAGGTGGCCCCCAGCAGGACAGATGGGAGTGGGGCTCGGTGTTCCCGGCCACTGCCCCTCACTGTGGGGTCTGCGTCCTGACTGAGCTGGCCTCGCCGGGGGCTGGGGACTGGGCAAGAGCTAGCTGGACCTTCTGGACTCTTCGGAGTGCGGTGCCCGCTGGTGCTTGGGCAGATCATGAGGCTTGCTTATACTTCTGGGGCAGGGAGGCATGTGCAGGATGGCTGTCGGGGTGGGGGGCTGCTTTCCTTTGGGGTGAAGCTGTGCCGCACGTTTTACAGCAGTCCTGGGCGGGGCTGTTTTTATATTCTTATGAATGAAGCTCTTGCTAATTTATTTTCTTTGTGGGGGCGGGGAGGAGGGGTTGCACTTTCCATTGATTCACTTGATTAAAAGAAAGTCCAAATCTTCTATTCCTGCCCTCCCCACCTTCTGATCCTTGTGCTAAGGAGGGGTCTTGGGACGCGTTTCTTGGCCCACCTCCCCCACCTCTACCTCCCTCATTCGGTCTTCCAGGTCTGGGGAACATCCACTTTTACAACCGGCCTTCATATGTCTTCTTAACACGGGCCACATTCCCACCCAGGCCCAAGAGAGATTCTGTGACACATATGACAGATAGAAGTCTATATAAATATATATAAATACCCTAGATTATGTACACACGGGTGGGGGCTGACACCCTTGCAGGCCCCTGTCCTGGCCGGCCTCTCCTGGCTGGGGGGGGGCAGGGGGTGGTGATGTTGGAAGGGTTGCCAGCTGTATTCATGACATTAAACAACGTGGTGGCATTCTCTGGCTTTGCGTGCCTCATTTGGGGACAGAGGTGCCTGGGCATGGGGGCAGGGGAAGCGAGGACTGTGGGAGGAGGCTGTGACCCAGCCCCCCCATCCTGACCAAACTCCCAAGCCTGCCCCTCCCGCCAGAAGAGGGCTGGGAGGAGGTGGTCCAGAGACAGAGTCGTGGTCAAGTACATGACTGGTGACTGTCCAACGCGGCTGACGGTGGGGAGTCCCTGCTTGACTGATGACTGAAAGGCAGAGATTCCCGTCTACCCAAAGGTACCTCAGAAGAAAGTCCTGGTGATCTTCCAAAAAGATGACCATTGATGACCCTATGGGACATAGTTCTCTGACACATTCAGGGTTGCCATGACTTACCAGCAAATGAGGCAGATGATGAATACTGGGGGGTCCCCCACAGGGGCTCCATGACGTCTGGGTGGTTTGGACACTGGGCAATTAGGCACCTTCCCTCCCTGCCCTTGGGGCCTCAGCAGTCTTTCTCTTGGTCAAACAGGACAGAGAGGGGCTGCCTGGCTGTGGACTCCCCAGTTATGGCCCTGACCTGGGATGGCAGTGGGGGAGGGTGGGGTCTGCAGGAATTCTGACATGGGAATCCTGTTGCAGGGCATTCTGGGCTGTCCATCCCAGAGGCCTGGACGTACTGTATGGGGACCTTCTTTTACGCACCCTGTGGACTGGACTATAGGGAGCCACAGTCAGGTAGGTGCCGAGAGGAGTCATGGGGGCTGTGGGCGGCGGTGGGGGGGGGGGGGGCAGAAGCCTCAGGAAGCACCATGGAGAATGGAGCCCTTTGCTGGAGTCAAGACCCCCATGTGTGTGTGAGGAGGGCAGGGCTGAAGCCATGACCTGGTATTCCCTGCTTAATTCTACCCCTGACTATCGCCGCCCCTCTAACAGCTCCCTGAAGGGCCCACAGTCCTCACAGCAAGTCCCGGGCTCAGAGCATGACCTCATCCTCATCTTCCACGTCTGTGGACCGCAGGCTGGGCCCCTGTAGGATGTCGGCCAGCCCCTCCTCTGGCCCCGGACCCTCCTCCAGCTCCAGTTCCTCCAGTTCCCCCTCAGCACCAAGGGTGGGAGGGGGCTCTGGTGAGGGTGAGGGAACGGGCGACTCTGGGGGTGTGGGAGCTCCCGCTCGGGGGGCCTCAGGTCCACTCTCAGGCAGGATCCAGCCCTCTGCAGGAGGGGGCGGGCCCACGACACTCTTTCGAGTTGAGGTTGTGTTCCGGAAGCTGGCAAGGGGGGGGCGTAGTTGTACCCCAGACTTGGTGTGGCCCTCAATGGCCTTCTGGAGCTGGTGGTAGGGAGAGAAAGTCCGTTACCCTGCACACTGGGTCCTCACCCTGACCAAGGTCACCCTGCACCCTGAATCCCCGCCCTGGCCTAAGTTATGTGGGTCGGCCTCTAGTGGGGGTCACGCCCCTCTCCCCCCACAGCCTGCTCACCTCCTCCAATGCCAGCACACCCCTGAGCTTGCCCATGCTGGTCACGTAGGCCAGGTGCAGGCCCAGGAGCGAGAAGAGAGTGTGTGTCTGTAGAGGGTGAGGCGGTCAGCACACAGCTTCCCTGGGAGCCCCTTGTACTGGTGGTCAGTGGTTACCACAAACCGCAACCCCCCCATAGTGATCAGCACACAGCTCCCAGGTGCCCCCATGTGGTGGCCAGTGGTCAGCACACAGACTCTGGTGCCCCCATGTGGTGGTCAGCACACAGCCCCCAGTGCCCCCATGTGGTGGTCAGCAGTCAGCACACAGCCC